CCCCCCCCCCTTCCCCCTCTCCTGATGAAAAAAAAGTGGGTGTGACGGTGAAAAAAAAGTGTTTCAAGTTTCAACGGTGCAGAGTGACACAGACACTCCAACTGGATTTTCATGTTTTATAGTCGGAATGGTTTTATTTTACCTGTTGTGACATATATTTTTATTCAGCGAGGTTACCGATGGATTTGATGGAAATGGAATTGGTGGGAAAGTGTGGGGGACAGGTGGTTGAAACAATGTTTTGGTTGTTTTAGGGGAAAATTATGGGTTTGCGGGGAAAAGTGGATTTATTGAGGAAAAAATTGTTATGGAAATGACGTGATAAAACGTAATACTGAGGTGAAATAATTTTATTAGTTTTTTTTGCGTGAAATTGTCGAGTAGTTGATGAGCAAACTTTGTTCGTGTTCTTTGAAACAATAATTTCGTTGAATTAAGAATAAGCGACATCTCAGAAACTAGCCGGACTTCATCAATAATGTATGCACCACTTCACGCTGAGACATTTTCCGATTTCATGAAATCTTCAGGAATCTATTTTACTCTTTACGTTCGTCAAACAATCGATAAACAATGATTGGGTTATTTGAAACAATGAATTCAATGTCTCAGCAATCAGTAGAATTCGAATGCTCCAACCATAATGAAGGATCCTTCAAGAATCCATCGGTAATATTAAACTTGAATTCATCACATAATTTTTCGCTAGTAAACAATATATTTTTGTATTTTTCTAAACAATGACAGCATTGTATTATATTGAAATCAACGATATCTCCTGAACTATCCGGAATCCATCAATAATTCATGAACCTTATCAAAGTCTGAGTAACTTCCGATCCCATAAGTTCCCCACTAATCAATCTTCTCAATAGTTCATTAAAATATTTGTAAACAATGTTTTGTTTGTTTGAAACAATTATCTCGATAACCAATAGAATTTTAAAACCTAAATCATAATGAATGACTCCTATAAATTGATTATCAAACTTCCCTTCGCCATACGATTTCCCACCAATAAACCATCTTTTTTTGTATTATCTAAAACGATGATTTCATTGTATTCCATTGGAAACAACGATATCTTCCACACTATCCAGCATTCATTAATAATTCCTGAACCATTTCAAGACCGGGAGAATTTCGGACCCTATCAGATCGTCAGCAATCCATTTTACTCCATGAATTCATCAAACAATCCACAAACAATGTTCAATTTGTTCTAAACACTGAGTTCGATATCTCGATAACCAATATAATTGAAGATGATCATGATGAATCATTTCTCAGGAATCGATTAGCAATATTGAAGTGTTCACTATCACATAACTTTACTCAATTGAACAATATTTTTTTGTGTTCTTCAAAACAATAATTTCATTGTATCAAATAAAAAACAACGATATCCCGTGAACTCTCCGGAATCAATGATTAATGAACTCCTGAGATTCCGGGAAAATGTCCAATTCCATAACTCCCATTTCGCTACATAAACTCTCCGAAGATAATGCTTAAACAAGATTTTCTTTGTATCTTTGTTTATGCCCAAAGAATCTCCGCTTTCTTTTACCTTGAATTGTCCCTTCACTCCATTCTCTGATAAATAATTAATAACTCCCCGAAGTCCTTTATTCCTCGGAAAAACTTTTCAATGTCTTCGTCCCTCTCTCATGATTTATGTAAGATGGCGGAAGCAAGTGACGACATGCAGCGATAAAAAGAAAAGAGGAAAAAACGAAAAAGAATTGAGACTGAGGAATTGAGCTTTGACGAATTTACTAGAAAGTGAGTGGAGATTTGAGAAGTTCGATTAATTTCAACTTGCCATGGTTGTTCAAAATGAGTTGGGGAATGGGAAAAGCTGGGAGTGAGACTGAGGACAGCCGAGAAAAAGGAGAGAAGTTACTGGCCAATAAAGTTGATGGAAAAGTTTTTTTCAAAAACTTTTTTTTTTCGCACTTTGTTGGAGGCTACTCCAGGAATCTCGGGTCTGGCAGTGATATTAATTAGCTAGACTATTTAAATGGAATTGTACCTTTGAATTAATGATTTTTGTAAGCCGCCATCTTGGATTTCTTCACATTCTGGAGGATTGAGGAGATGACGTCAAGAATCGATGCCTCGGGGAATTTCTGCTTCCGTTCACTGAAGATAAAGTCTTTTTACTCCATAGTTATTGAAGATGCCGCAATTTTTGTTTCAAACAATGCTTTCATTGTTTTTCGATTGTTCGATAAAATAATCGATGAAAATAGGTTCATGACCCCTTTGCGGAAGCGAAAATTGGAAAGGGTAGATTTATCTTGAACTCTTTCTAAGATATCGTCGATTTTATCTAATACAATTGAATTGATACAATAAATTGATTGTTTCGCGCGAGAATTTCATCTGATACAATAAATTCGTTGTTTCTCTCGACGCACTTTGTTGGAGGGTAACTCGAGGCATCTCGACTCGGGCAGTGATATTAATTTGCTAGACCATTTAAATGTAATTGTGCCTTTGAATTAATGATTTTTGCAAGCCGCCATCTTGGATTTCTTCCCATTCTGGAGGAGAGTCTTTTCATTCAATAATGATTTGAGATATCAAAGCTTTTGTTTTAAACAATGCAAGCATTGTTTATCGATTGTTCGAGCAAGTAATCGATTAAAATAGATTCATGACCACCTTGCGGAATCGGAAATTTTCTCAGCTGTCTGAAGGTCCGGGAATAATCAATTCAACTCGACTTGTTTTCCAGATATCGTCGATTTCATCTAATACAATAAATTCATTGTTTTGCGCGACGCGAAAAATTGAACGTTTGTCCAAAAGAAGAGAAATTAAAAACATAAAAATTAATTCTTGCGTGATTCCGTGCAGATTGTGATTACGACCAATGTCCCGTAGAACCCTTGGTAAGAGAAAAAAAGTAAAGAGAATTATAAGGAGGGGTCCTAGCACACACGCACACCCATAAGCACCACCTGCCCCAGGAATTCATCCCGAGGATCACGCGATGGGTTTCCGTGGAAACATCAAAATCCCATCTCCACGTTGTTTGTCACTCGAAGTCAATATGACGACCCATTTTGCCCTCTCATTCATAATTTCCATTTTTCGCAGTATCTTGCTGACTAATGGGGCAAAATGGATCGCGGTATTGAGTTCTCCCGCGGAAATTTCGCTGGCTGTCTGGTGGGGTCACTCCTAACCCCAATTTCTGGCCTTTAATTTTTTTTTTTTTTTTTTTTTTTAATGACAGTTATTTGATTTTGCTTATGCCCGAGGGCGAATCGATTCGATGCATTCCAGAATCTTCAGGGGCTAAACTTTAATTAATCCAACTTGGCCCCCAAGAATTTCACCGCTTGACGAGGCGCATTCACTTCTCCCCTCCACTCGCACAATTCGTGCGTGGTAAAGGCTTAGATTGCTTTCCCAAACTTCCAATTGCCTTTAGAATATTTGCCCAAGTTTGATAACTTCTGAGTTATTGCATACAACAACAATCGATCGTCATCGTCAATCAAGAGTATTAATATATTTTTGATTTTTGTGTTACAGAGTAACGACAGGATACAGCGCCAGAGTACTTGCAGAATAAACATGAAGGTGAGTCGAAATTTCAAGAGAACAAAAAATTATGCATTCTGGAAAATGCTAACGAGCGATATTTCAGCCGAAAAAGTTCATATGGCGACCCGTTTTGCCCCAGTATTTCCTGATTTCTTTGTTTTTGCGGTTTTGCAGAAAGTTGAGGGGCAAAATGGATTGTAATATAGATTCTTTTAGCTGGAATTTCCCTCGCTACACAAAGAGAATATGGACCTATTTTTTACTATTGAATACAGTAATTCTTAATATGAGAAATAGAATGCAGGACTGCCACACTCGAAAAAACTACGACGTGCTGGATGAAAAAATAGGGCTGAAAAAATGAAAATATGATGGAGTCCGTTGGAAAAATTACTGTTGAACACAGTAAAAATTGAGAGTTGGTGTGGTAGAAAATGTAGCATAAAAGTTTAATTTTCAATTGACACGAGTAAAATTTAGGAGGATAAACCTGAATTTTTACTTCGTCGGTTAAAAAAATATTCTCTCCCCTTTTCGAAATGAATATTCACAGAAGAAGACGCGAGAGAGGGGGATTTTTTGAATAACCGAAGTGAAAAAGCATATTTAATCTTCTTTATCATCCTTGAAAATTATTATCAATAATTTTTCTCCACGTATATTCATTATGAAAAAGAGGAGGGGGGAGAGGTAGTATTGATTTTTTTAGAATTATAGAATTCGCCACCCGGGTCATTGCGTGGTCGACGGAGGGAGGAGATTCCAAGAATTGAAAACAATCGACGCTCTCGTCGTCCGCTGGAGTTTTTACTAGTCAACATAGTAATTTCTGCTATTTCCTCGAGTAAAATGTAGGAGACGCGAGAGTATAAAGTCAAGTTTTAAATCGTACGAAAAAATTACAATTTAACATGGTAAAAATTCATACAATTTGAGTAATTTCTCGTCGTTCAATAGCAAAAATTGGTAAATAAATGAGGTGTTTTCAACACTTTTGAATTTTTTTTTTCGTTCGTGCATTTTATGCTGTTTTATTCGTTAAAAATTACTATACTAAATCGTAAAAAAAATTTTTTTTTGCATTTTTTTTTAATCACAATGTTCACTTAATTTTTAATTTGACATTCTCTCCGTGTATGGAATGAGGCCATTACCAACCCCGATTTCTCCATCTCAAGTTGCCCGGAAGCTTTGAAAAATCACGCCCAACCCCGAAACTCCTCTTAATCACCGAATTGTTATGTAAAGTACAGTAGTTTGATAATGAATAATAGTGTTCTCCGAGTTTTATCATAAGGGTGAATCGGATTGATGCTGATACTCCCCCTTTCACGGAATAAATGAGGGGTTAGTTGCTAAAGTCCTTCCGTTATCGTCTTATTTTCCGGAAGCTGAAACTCCAGCAAAGGAAGGGAATACGTATACAACCCCTCACTCACTTCTCAATCTTGGGGGGGGGGGTAAC